TGCGGTTCTCGTCTCATATTTTCCTCAATTCTATAACCAGCACGACGGTTGGTTTGACAAACTTTTTAAACTCGGGAGGGGTGCTTTCGGAACGCGGATGACTTTCGGTTGACGAACATGAGCGAGCACTGTAAATCGCGAGATCGCGAGATGGACTGAGATGGTCATTGTGTTAACTGAATCACTTTTGGGAATGTAAAAATATCGGTAGGATTCAAAGTTGCGTAAATAACGGTAAAATTAACGTAATTAACGTTTAAATGACAGATTTCAAAATGATTTCCACAACCGGAACACCGTGCAATGCGTAAGCATTGGAATTTTTTATGTTTTTGGAAAGCTGACAGCCTCACCCTCACCAATGTTTTTCAGCAGTCAGATTTACTCTTGGTTCACCCGGGTAAAAGAACAACGTCGTTAAAAGTGCTACAAAATCGGCGTCTGAACGATTTTAACAGTGCGATAAGTTGAGTTGCGAACATTTGCGCACGGTTCTGTCACTTGTCGGTGAAAGGGCAGATAGTCCACTTTGGACTCCATGCCGTCGAATGTTTCGGAATGTTTCGCGTTTTGAGAAAATCGCTTTCAATTGTGCGTTCTAGACGAAACCCGAAAAAAGTGGCGATAATTCTAGGATGCTTCGATCGTCTCCAAAATCGCTACCCGGGGGTTTGGGGGGATGAGAAACTCTGTCCCGTCAGCGTCGAAAGCCGGAAATGAACGCCAGGGGCGGATCCAGCATTCGAGGAGGGTGTTTACCGTTGGGAGCCAACGGAACGATGCCACAATCGCTACACGTGGGTTTTTGGAAATGAGAAATTCGTTCCCGTCAACGTCGAAAGTCGGAAATGAACGCCAGGGGCGGATCCAGCAATCAAAGAAAGAAAAAACTGGATCCGCCCCTGGCGTTCGTTGCCGGCTTTCGACGTCGACGGGAACGATTTTTTCATGTCCGAAAAACCCCGTGTAGTGATTTGGCCATCGTTCCATTGGCTCCGAACGGTAAACCCCCTCCTGGTATGCTGGATCCGCCCCTGGCGTCCGTTTTCGGTTTAAAATTTTGACGGAATCGAGTTTCTTATACCCCAGAACCCCCGGGTTGTGATTTTGGAGACGATCGGAGCATCCCAGGTTTATCGCCACTTTTTTCGGGTTTCGTCCCACTGTGGGCCGGCGTTCGAAAGGGGGTGGAGCTTTCTGAGGGATGATTCAAGCGGGGGTGGTTGGATCCTCGAAAAAACACGATTGCTTGGTACGGTGGACGCCTAGGGCGTCATTCCACGCCCAGTCGTCAAGGTTTTGAGGGACGTGTTGGCCGAACCCAGCGGTAGTTTCTTGGATTCTTGGCCCTATGGGCCCATTGAAGGCCCGGTACTTTATTCCCCGGAAAGTAAACCTAAAAAAATTTATACCTCGGAAAAATTTAAATATAAATTTTGACTCAAAACTATTTTTTTAACAAATTCTTAGAAACCGTCAGATTTTACATGAAAACAATGAAGATTGAAAGCAAAAGGCTGCCAATGCCATGAACACCGATAAAATACGCAAATATATGCGGTTATGAACAAAAATAAGGACAGAATCTGTGAATTAATGTAAAAAGTGGTGGGGTTAGACGAGTCGCATTCCCGTTGGAGCCTCGATGAGCCTTTGATTGAAGTTGGCCCTAGTAGAGGAGGGTCCAATGTACCTTTAGGCGTAGAGATCTCCGTCGGGACAAGTAGAAGTCGTTTTGGAACTCAAGTTCAATATTAAGAAAAAACCTTAAATTCGCAGATTTAACTAGTTTCGGTGTGAACACATGCCACCGAGGAAAACTTGAGTCTAGTTTATATCCACATGTTCAGTGTGATACCTAAACAAGAGGTCACGTTTAAAACCGGGACGAAAAATACGACGTGGCTGGCCGAAAATCGTTTCGGCATATGTGTCATTTTTGACCCGCCCTTCTATTCAAAAAATAGGGGGAGAGCATGCATTTGCCTTTGTGTCTGTGTGTTGTTGTTGTTGTTGTTGTTGTTGTTGTTTGCGTCTGTGTACAAGGAAGGTGTTGAGCTAGAGTAACCAGATTTGGAGGGTACTTCAGGAGTACCGTCCAAACAAATAATCCGGTGGTGCAAATCCCGTCCGGGTCGCACAAGGGCTGCTGCAGGTGCATCATGGTTTACATGAGCGGGAGGGGGACTTCCGCCATTATTGGTGCTAGCAGGGCACATAGGGGTATTTTTGGAATCGGGGCGACGAGACAAGATGAATGGACCTGGTCCCGACCCCATCGGCCGCTTTTACAAGTTGGCCAGATCAGGATCTTCAAAAAAGGGGGTCGACCGACTAAAAAAATTTATTGCAGATTTCGATTGGTCTCAGCAAGACCTTTTCAACGAGAGGTCGGAAAGGGGGTCCAGGAGCCCGACTTCGCCTATTAGTCACATCAGGATCTTGAAAAAAGGCGGTCGACCGACTGAAATTTTTTACTTAAGTTTTGGATAGGTCTTGGCAAGACCTCTTCAACGAGGGGTCGGAAGGGGGGTCCAGGAGCCCGCCTTCATGAGTTATGGGAAAAAGTGCGACGGACTCGTTTTGCGCTCCTGCTGTGCCTCTATTGCAAGGAGTTGCAGTAGCATGGCAAATATGGGTATTTTCGGAATGAGGGCTAAGAGACAAATGAAATGGGCATATTCTAAGGACAGTTGGAGTAAAAAGTGTAAGGACTTTTGCATATTGTGAATAGAAAGGCGGGCCTTAGTCACGATGGTACATCGATAACTTCGCTTTACCCGCTCATGGGGTGTGTGATGCGAGCGGGCCGAAGGCCCGGGCCTTCGACTGGCCAAGTTGGGTCTGATGCGAGAGCCGAAGGCCCGAGGAAAGGCCGCCGGCAGGCCAAGCTGGGCCGGCCCCCTGTCGAACCGAGTTGCCGGCGCAGCGAAGCGGAAGGGCGGGCCCTAGCTTGTTATGATCCACAAGCGGAACGTCAAAAGCCTTGAAATACCAAGTTTTTAGGTGTCATTATCACTGTGATACTGCTAGTATATGTAGCTGGTATGTTCATTTCCTTGAAGACTGAACCTTTTCGAACACCATCTCCTACAAATCCGATGCAAAAAAAAAACATTGAAAAACTGGATTAAATGTCGGTTTTGCGAATCTCAGCACACTGTGGAGCGGTTCATGTGAACCACTAAAAGGCTACTTTCCCGCTGGAACGGCTCACAGTGGGCTAAAACGCTCAGAACGCGATGAGAAGTGGATATTTTAAAATCGAGGAGTATAGTACTACAATCTTTCAGATATTTTCAAGGAAAGTCTGGCCTTTGCGAAACAATTATCTGCTTGCCAATATCTCATACGTTCGTGCCCTGAGGGAACGCTAAACTTGGCACATTTTCACGTTTTCGTGCAATGATTGTCATTGCTCTACTGTTTGCCCTCTACTGGCCGTCTCGTTAAGGATAAAACCAACATGTTACATTTTTTTGGAAATCTGACGACGCGACCAATCCGGAGCATTTTATGGTTTTACTTTTGGGTTATCCGTTTAGACGAAACAAGCCGGAGAAAGTGGTGTAAAATCGTGTCTTGGATGGTATTCACTTTGAGATAAGTCGAGTTGCGAACATTTGCGAAAGGGTCAAAGACATGTCCGTGGTAGAGTGGACCGCCGACTTTCCGCTGCATATCGCCGGCGCGTATACCCCTAGTCTTTAACATGCAATTGACTTACACTGTTAAAAAATTCGGATTGAAATTTCATAACATGTTAATGTAATTATTATCACTTTTCCGTTCTGAAATTTCATGGCGATTTTCTGCAATGAAATAAATTTCATTGCAGAAAATCGCCATAAAATTTTAAAGCAATGTGTTGTGAAACTTCATTAAATTGTCATTGAAAATTCTTATACAAGTTTTGACTTTTCATTAGAGATTGTGGTATTGTATTGCATATATGACTAATGAAATCTCGACCGGTATCTTAGCTCTTAGTTCCATACCAGTTCTAAAAATAGCAAGCGGGCCGAGTTCACCTGAGACGTCAATTCCCCGGTGTGATACTCAGGGAGATGAGTTGGTGGCTCGTTGTACCATATCCACGAGGAGGCTCTCGCTGCACCTAACCTAATGGCCGACTGTAGGCGCCAGCGAGTCGCAACATGGTTCTGCGTTTTTCTCGACTTCAGAGTAATATTTTAATAACACTTTTAGTATACGTCTAGAGTAGATATTCACTAAGGTAACTAAGGATAAACTTTTGAAAAAAATATTAATTTTACTTTAATGAATAGGCAATACTTATTAGTGAACGAACACGGCGCTCCGAGCGCCACCTAGCGGCAGGTCCTTGAAACCTGACTTTGAGCCCAGGTGGCTGGCAGGCCGCACTTTGTGAGCAGTGGATTGACCACAGTTTGCGTTTATTGATACTTAAATACTTTTTTGGTGCGACATCTGATTTACTACTCATATCATCACGCTACATCACTCAGGGAAGAGCATAGGAATGTTCCGACGATTGGGTTCAAACTCTCAGTCAAAACTGAAGTTCCTTCCACCCGGCCAATGTTAGAGCCATCAAAACCTGCCTATCACAAGTCAAAGACCGACATGAAAGTTTATATCTTGGTTATAAATTTTCAGAACCACACTAAATTTGTAGTTTCACGTTTTGACTTTTCATCAAATCTCTTTACGTTTCATTGCAGACTTGATTTTTCAAGGGGATATTATGACGTTTCATGGAATGTGTTCTGACATTTCATTATATTTATGAAATTTTATGGCCGCTATGAAATTTAATGTCGTTCATGAATTTTCAATGTATATTTGTAATGAAAATTCATAGCATTTTTTACAGTGTAAATTTGAAACCCTATGGTTTGTAGCATCAGAATTTCTTTCGTGCCGAATACTTCGATTACGCCGCCGCCGGCGGCCTTGAATTGGACAAGCGCCGCCGCCGACCAAATTTGGGTCGGCGCACGCGTCTACAGTCATACCGTTCATGCAGAGAGGCATGAAGACGATGAAGATCTGCGGCACGAGCGACAGGAAGTTGCCGGAGAAAGTGCCAAACAGAACGCCGCAGGTGGCGAGGGCCGAGCCGCCCAGAGGGTTCAACAAGTAGTACGGCAGGTACGGGGCGAAGAGGTCACTCAGCTGCACGACAGCTCCACTCAGCTCGCCATGCAGTCGCGCTGTCTCCCTGAGCTGGGCGTCCTGAAGACAGACACAGATTTGTCTTTTTGGACGGTCCCGCGTAATTTTTTTTTGTAAAAAATACGATTTTAAGAAATCCTAGGAGTCACGAAGTCAATATAGTTATTGTTTAGGAGTGTGGAGAAAGGAAAAAAGTTTTCTAAAAGGGATAGGGGGTGGTTTAGGTACGATTGGCAAGGGTACCAGTGTGGTCGATGTGCCACCCGTCAAAATTTAAACTTGGCAACAAAAAGAAATCAAAATGCCGTAAAATTCGAAAAATTCCAATGCTACACTGTAAAAAAAATTTGGAGTCAAATTTCTATACATGTATATGAAACAATTCACACATGTATAGGAATATTACCACACACTTGTATGGCAATTTTCCTATACATCGGTATAGCATTATGACTATACGTGTATAGGGGTTGTCCTATCTGTTGTACAGGATTTTTCCTATACATCGGTATAGCAAAATTGCAATGCATGTATAGAATTTCTCCAATTTAAGAAAAAAATGCAAACTATGCAGGCCGCTAGGCTGTTTTAATCGTGGCAGATATTTTACTCAACGGGCATGGTTCTCGCCGGTTTGACATGATGCCTCTCGTCCGGTGAGTCAGTTCACCACTTTGGCGAAGTTCGACATCACCAACTGTCCTCAGAGTTAGCAAGGACATGTCCTAGTCAAAAAGTGTGGAAAAAGTCGTGTTGATGTGCGACTTTCTTCCATATCGGGAGAGCGTCTGCCTCGTCACCTAACCAAATTCCCAACCGCAGCACCCACCGAGAAGTAAGTCCGTGAAAACGACACTAGCGCCATCTAGCGGATAATCCGGTTTATAAGCAAAGAAGCAGCTTCGCGACTTTTGTCACAAGTGAATTAATAATCACACTGATTACCAATATTTGTACAGGCTACAAGAACTTCAATTGTAGTTTTAACAGTTTACAACAAAGTCCCCTTGAGCAGTTAGCCATAATTCTATACACTTATTGGAAAATTCCTGAACATGAATAGGATTTCTGGCAGTTGCTATACATGTATAGTAATTTTCCTATACATTTTCGGTCCGTATAGCAAAAAACCTATACAAATCGGAAAATTCCTATGCATGCATCAGAATATCAGCATTTCCTATACATGTATAGGAATTTTGCTAGACCACTGTATGGCGAAATTCCGATCACTTTTTACAGTGTAATGTATTTCACACTGGAACATCTTTGAAGTCAATCATTATTAAAATGTTCGTGGGGGAAAGGAGGCAGTAACTTAATTTTTACGGGTTGGCAACAATCTTCTCGGCAACTGCGCCCTTGCGAAAATAGCGAAGCCGAAAACACGAGTAGTCGCGCATTAAAACTGCCCCGCCATTGTTGCTGACGTTGAATTGTTTGGCTTGTTTCAAAAGGCGGTTCTCTAGTCATGTTTTCTTCAATTCCGTGTAATAGTTCTCATTCACAACGTAATAACACCACGACGGTTGGTTTGACAAACTTTATAAACTCGTTTTGGGATGGTTTTGAATCGCAGGTGAGTCTTGTTCAAGGAACATGAGCACTGAAAGTCGCGAGGTGGAGCGATGCACAGTGGGCTGGCGGAGCAAAATCTGACATTTAATTCGATTGTTACCGCCTGGGTTGCACTTTTGCTGTCATATTGGTAGCCTGACGGCGCGCGCTCGGCGCTACCCCCTGGCCACGGGCACCCTGCGCGGTTGCCTGGTTACCAATAGACGGACCTCTACTACATTGCCCGGCTCTCTGTCCTGAATAAAACCCTTGCTCCCGAGACTCCACCTTTCCTTGCCCGCTTATTACATTTGGTGTCAGAAGTGGGATAAGGAGAATTGCGGACACCGGGGCGAGCGATCAACAACAGCATGAGTCGTCGGCAGGGCGGACAGACCCCGCCGGACTTGAACGAGGTGCTCAGCCGCTGGGCGGCTCACTCCGCCACACTCCAGGAGCGGCACACAGTGGGCCACGAAGCCGGTTTAGGCGGACATATTTCCATTTTTGCAACTCTCAAATCTTAAAGTTATTTTCATGGCATCTCTTCCCAATACTCCAAGGAGCCAGGATTGGACCGAATTTTTAACACAGGGACACATTGAGGCAAACATACAGGTGGTCAAACGCGCACAAACGATTTGCGCCACTTTGGTGCACTAAATATGCATGTTTTCAAACGGAAAAAGTACTTGAAAATTTTTGTGCAGCAAACTTTTTACTGACACCGCGTGAAAGAGCGTTTCTTCACGAACATTTGCATACATTTACTTTTGATTTTAGACGATTTTTGTGGTGTCCAGCTTCATTTTTACTATACTCTTACAAAATTGTTAATATTAAACCTTTGCAGAGGCGGCACTTTTTTGTTTAACGTTGTTTAACGGCCTCCTTCAGTCCTTGTGGAAGCCAACATGCCAAGGAACAAAACCCAAAAGAACTAAGCTGCACCTACCTGCACCTTTGAGTTGCAGGGTCTCCCAAACATCGTCTAAAAGGAGAAAAATGGTCCCGCGCAGCAGAACGCTTCCCCGCGTAATGGAGGAATCGCCTCATAGTTTTCGTTTCTAATGCTTAGAGTTGTGCATGTCAGAGTTTTCGTTCAACGTGAGTGCATGTTTTGGTTTTTGCGTTGCTCAATTCATGAAAATGCAGAAAATTTGTCAGGCCATGTCTTGGCGTAATAGGTCCCTGTGCATCAGATATTGTCAAATTTCGCCCTTGAGGTGCTAAGGACGGTCCCATGCATCAGATATTGTCAAAAACGGATTATACGCCCCTCAAAACCCCCGACTACCAAGTTACACGTCAAAATAACTATTGGTATGGCCTGAGAGAATTATGTCCGCCTAAACCGGCTTCGTGGCCCACTGTGCGCAGTGGGTACTGGAACATTCACCTCGCCGAGTCAGCCCGTCCCAAAACTGCCTTCACGCGTCTCGAGTACTTGGGTCATGTAATCAGCAGCGAGGGCGTGGCCACCAACCCCAAGAAGACGGCCAAGGTGCGCGACTGGCCCGTCCCTAAGGACAAAACGCAGCTCAACAGCTTCCTGCGCTTGGCCCAGTACCACAGTGGTCGAATCACCTCGGTTTTCTGGTCATAAGTACAAAAGTGGTCTTAGCACCGTTCTTTCTGTAACATATATGTTTTTTGGGTCCCTGATTTCGATTTTGATATAGCCAGCTCAAAATCTTTTGTCCAGGGGCGGCTAACGCCCCAAAAAGGGGGGTAAAGTTGTTTAAACCAGTGTTCAGCGCACATTTTTCACCTGCATGTTCGTTGTTTGCGTGTCTGACCCCAAATCTGATGTGGCTGTTTCAAATTTTCACGTCCAGGGGCGGTCAATTTTCAAAAAAGGGGGTAAAGTCACTTTTGTCTGATATATTCTTTGTGCTTACCTTAAAACATGCATTTTCACGGCAAGGGACTTCTGGCTTCTTTGCCCTCAGCGCCTCGCCACAAAGTAAATAAATCCCTGATGGGAAACATCTTGCACGTATCATAGATAAACTTCTGAAGTGCTGCCGCCGGTACGCCGTTAACATTCCGGCTTCGACAGGTCGTTACAGCTCTCGACAGTTTTTCAGCTCTGGACAGGCCTTCATGGATCCGGACCGGTCATGACTAGTGCACCTAGTCTCAACAGATCTTGTCAAGTATCACCAAGCATCGGCGTCTAGAGTAGTCGATTCGTGCATCGAGTGAGGAAAAGCAAAGGACAAAGGGAAAGCGGCTTTCCACTCATGCATTGGACCTTGGAGAACCCGATTCCGTTGAGTCCCACTCGATCGCGGCTGGGCAACTCCCGTAATTGAACAAAAGGGCCTAAATACAAAACTTGCTCTAGCGTGCCCGCAAATTAAGCTAGAAGGCTCGGGCTGGTGTCAAACTGTTCGGGAGGAACAGGGGAACAGCCTGGTATGCGCAGGTTTAAGTTGCGCCGACTGGGGCGGCCAAAAATTCGAAATTTGTTCAAGAGCAATTTGAACGCTGTTTTCTATCTCGCCATATTTCGGAAATGAGGCAAAAACTCGGAAATTACCCTTAAACAAACGTTATGTGCCAATTCTTCAGGTCAACGACGGTATTTTTACTTTCTCTATAACTTGAACCAGAGCTGAGAAAATCGAGTTGAAATGAAGCGGTGCGGAGACGCGGGCGGACGGGATTCGCGCTGGCAGGCGACAGCACTACGCGCCGCCACCGGCCGCCACGCTCTCCCCCCACCCTCCACCAGGGGCCACATCTGGAGAGGCCGTCCTTCCCGCTCGCACCGCCTTTGTGTGCGCACGGGTGGGACAGAGCGAGACAATGCCGACGCTTTCGGAGCGGCTGGCGTAAGGGTCCTCGAGCGCGTCTTCTTGCTTCACTTACAAACCAAGATTTCTCAAGGAAGAAATGAGGGAAAAGACCGGGACTTTTCGGGAACTTGTACAGCTCGGCGTGCTCTATCTCCTCGAATTTAGTCCCTCCCGCGAAACCCTGTGCGTCACTTAGAACTCCAGAAGAAGGCCATAAGAACACCCTTTGCGTTAAATGCCATTATTGGAGAAACGAAAATAGGTAAAATGTCCGTAATCCCGGCATAATGACCAGAAAAGCACAATTCTTTCGCCGGTACTCGTCCGATTTATTTTATTCCAATAAAAGTAGCTAAAATCTCACTTTTATCGCTTTCCAGTTGATTTTGCAATTTTGATATTCGAAAAAGCACCATTTTCGTGGTACGGATACGGAAATCGGAAGGTTTGCCTTTTACAAACACTAAGCGCGGGTGTCTCACGAACCCATACGTGTCTTTGGATCCCTCCTAGCGGCACTAGTGGCCGAGAAAACTGAGTATTTGCGACCGGCGGCGCAGCGCGTCAGGCCTGGCGGTCCATGCCGGCGCGCGCTGCCCCGCGCTCCGCTGGATACAAATACTCAGTTTTCTCGGCCACTAGTGCCGCTAGGAGGGATCCAAAGACACGTATGGGTTCGTGAGACACCCGCGCTTAGTG